TCAAAATGTGTGATCCTGCCTTCTTTAAGTCTCCTGTTCATTATGTTTCTCTTGGTTAGTATTTCGATGGCCTCTGGGATCTTGCGTTTTCTCGTATTTTCACCATATCCAGACAGTCTTTATGTCGATTTCCAGTCAATTTCGTGTCTCGTCCGTGCAATGTGCCCAACTATTTCGGATCCTTCCGTATCTCTGTTTTTGCAGTCTTTAATTTTCCTTAATTTGTAGGCTGCTTTTTATTCCTGTCTCTAAAGCACACTTCTGCTCACAGTTGCTGCTTTTTAGTGAAATAAACTCTCGACCAATCCAGTCTTTCAACTTTCTCGTGTCGCGTCGACAGGCTGTTGAGGAGTGTTGTCCTTTTATTTTTTTATCACCTTTATATTCACTTTTCTTACTAACGCTGGCCAAATCAAAACAAGCAGAACCGTATCACTTGTGGGTTGGCAGACACTTGGCATTATGGATAGAAGTTAGTCGGCTGACAGTGGACGTGTTTGAGCATAGACGCCGTTCATGAGGCAAAGGCTTGACGATGAGGATCAAAAGCTTTAGATTGAGTGTGGGAAATAAAGCCTCGAGTAGTACAGATTGGGTGATAAGGGTCAAGTGGAATACTAGAACCAGGGAGATAGGAGACGGACCCTACGAGGCAAGTGGCAGACTCTGATAGGACCCATGGGAATTGGATTGCGAACTAATATTGTAGACTCAGATCAACGTTCCCAGCACATTGGTAGGGGGTGGGGTGAGAAAGCCAGTGTGGGAGGTGAAGAGAAGTCATGAAATCCAGTCAAAAGGACGCACCATAACACATTTCAATATGCAAGTAAGCAATGATGATAATGAAGGTGTGATACGAGGATATAGGAAATGTGAATAGCCCAGGGCTGAAGGAGAGATACCACAACTGTATAGCAGATAATTGGTCAAAGGATCGACTTCACTTGTCTCTTTTCCAGTTGTGGTGTGTTGCTAAGAACGGCAAGCCTCACTGACGAAGCAGATTACGATACCGGCGAAACGTGTGGGAATGTACCACGTCAGCGGTCCTATTCTGGAAATAATCATGCATACAATGGACTCCAGACACGGTGCGTTCCTCTGAGTCTTCCTACCAATATGGTCAAGTTGTAAAAACAAGGTCAAGCAGCTACTATCAAAGATTTTCATTGGAGCTAAGGAGGAATGAGTTGAGGACTACAACTGCCTAAACATCCTAGTTAGATCGGAATCATTTCGAGAGAGTGATCTGCGAAGTTCTTGGTCCCACACTTAAATAAGAATGTAACTTCATCTTAACGATGATATATCAGGAGTTTCCTCAAAGCTCACTTTCTTTTCGTTAAAATTATTCAGTTTGAATATTTTTTGCTGTACCTTTATAAAATTAGGTTCGTATAACATTTATCTAAATAAATATGCTTGAAAAATCGGACTGAATCTTCAGCTTGGATGAAGACGTTAGGGCTCAGCAGAATGCGGCCTATTAATTTTCGAACTTCAATCTAAATTGTTTTATGATATATTTTTCAAGTAAAACTCATTAATCAAATTATTTAGAAATAAAGGCGATAATAATTTATTCATGTCCAGATGAGCCTGTATATAGTAATTTATTCTAATTCATTTTGCACTGTGTGAAATAAAGATGGGGTGAATTTCATATGTACCAAAGGTAAATTTTTCCTAATGATCGATATATCACGTACTAATAGCTACTTAATAACTTCGGGGTCTTCCAG